GAGAGAGAGAGAGAAGAAACGACGATTTTCTGCATGAAAAGTGGAAACGACGTTAGACAGCATATATCGACGGGGGCAGCTATGTGGCCTCCGTCACGGTCATTATCCACAAATCAGGAGGTCGCGTGACCGCCTTCATTACGTGCTGATAAATAGCGGTTCATTCCATTGCGGGTTACTGTTTGTTTTATTGTGCCATCCGTCGCCAATCGCCGTGGAAGATACCACGAATGCAAATTTGCGGCTAGTACGCCATTAGGCGTATTCCAAACACGTCGTTATTCACAAATTTAGGGGATGGTCTGATGATAGATGGGCTCGAGACAAATTATAAGAAAACTGATCCACAATGGCACTTGTTATGAGTTCCTTTATCTTTCTAAAGAAGATCAGAGACTCGGATATATTTTCGGAGGTATGTCATATCTGTATTTGCAGGAATAAATATATCGATTCGTCGATCCACTCGCGCGCTAACCTTCCCAATGGAAATGTCTCGCGGACGAAATTCCTGGTTTGGTACATTGAAGTGAAAGTAAAACGGGAGTTTAAGACTCCTTGGTACTCGATTTGGTCACCTCCGAAGGGTGACGTCAGTGTCGCGCGAAGCGTCACTCTTGAGATAGAAAAATATGAACTTGTTCGTTTCGTTTATTATTATTTCAGTAATATTTTCGTTTTATAAGCCCCTTTGGACGTAGATATGTTTCTTTATATATCACGATATCAAGTTTGAGAGTCGTTTTTCGAGATCGAAAAATTTAAGACTGCTTTTTAAGACTGAGATTTTCAGTCATGAGAAATATTAATGACGCGCGTAGACAGAGAGGAAAAAGAGGAGCGCTCCTCTTTTACATTACAGAAATTATTAATTGAAATCCTTTCACAGCCGACATTAGTTTCGAAAGTCTGGAGGCTTTCTTCGCGCGCGTGGGACGCGGCCGATCGATGAAAAAGCTGAAGGGCGGGATAAAGGGGAACGCACCGGGCTTTGTTTGAATCTGCACGATCGTGTGCACGGGGACGGATTTCCTGTTACGAGGCAGCGGCCTCTCATCGCGGCGTGATTCATATTCTTGATGTCTGGCGAGGCCCGACCGGGAGGCAAGAAAATTTGCATACAGCGCCTAAGAGGTGAACCGTGTGCGTCCGTGTACCAATGCTGTTGCTCTTTTTGGGAAAGAGTCCTCTGTAACTCGAGATTCTGAGAGAGTCGCGCGTATCAGTGGGTGGGACACGGATCATCTATATTCGAGAGAAGACCACACGGGGGGGGGGGGGAGTGTACGATATCAAAGATACACAACGGGATACAACAATTGCAGAGCTGGATTTACGAAATCCAGAGCGGAAAAGGTCAAACGATCCTTTCACTATCGAAAATTCGGGCGACAAGATACACATTGCTTTAGAAAATCAGTTTTTTACAATTTTTTATCTCGCCTTCCATTCGAGTTCCAATTCCTCTATTTGAGCTCGGCTCGATTCGACGGCGGACCGCGAACTGAAAAGAGAACCATAAAAAAGATAGGTGAGGTTCCTGGAAAGATGAAACCCCTTTTCAAACGCGATTCGACGTGACAGTTTCGTGGTAGAGCTGGTTCTATCCGGCCAGGCTAAGCGAGCAAGATAGAGGGATGACGGTCCGGTCGGTTAAAGACCCGAGGAGAAAGAAAGGAAGAGAAAGAAATCCGCTTGATGCGTTAAAGCAGTTTCATTTAAAACCCGTAAAAAATTCGCACAAATCCGAGCCGCGAGAGAGAATTACGGATGTCCTCCGCGTAAAATCCGGCGCGGTAAAATCGCTGCGGCGCGGCGCAGCGCGGCGCGGCGGAGGGGAGGAAAAAGTCACGCCCGTTTTACAGAGCTTTATCTTACTTTATGCTCGCGCGCGGCCGAAAGTTGCAGCCGCAGGTATTCGCGGGAGGAATTTCAAGGGCGCTGCCGCCGAGCGAGTCTGGCTCTCGCATCTCGAAAGGACGGTCAGTGCACCGTCGAGATCCTTTGTGCGAAATCGGGGGCCGGAGGTGCGCGCAGCTAAATCACGTTGGCGGCGCATTAAAAGCTATTAGGACGGCAAGACGCCCACGCCGATCCTTCGACGAGAAAGATCAGCGTCCTGGATCGCGCGACGCGCCCACCTGTCGTCATTGTTTCAACGACGGTGCCTTACGTCCGCCGTGACTTCTATGAGATGGGTGACGTATAGTGTACTTACAGTTACAATAGATACTTCGAGAAACGGTCGGGCCGGTATCGGCGACCGTCTCGTAAAATCGCGGCGATTCCGCAGCAACATCGCGAACAAAGGACCAGACCAGTACAAATAGGCTTCTTGTCGAGACTCTTGCCGAGCTTACTTAAAGCTGATACTTAATACCACTTTATGGCTAGGATCTGAGCGAGGTGACGGCTTTATTGCCGCTGATAAAGTAATGGGTCTAGGTGAGGTCGTACGATAGAGTTATCTGCTATTCGAATCTCATCGGGAAGAAGAAACGTCTCGAACCAAGAGTTCGCGGTGTGGACATTCGCATTATAGCCAATACGTTCAGACGTCCGGAGTGCTTTGACAGCAACCGCGGGAACTTGATCGCGAAGGAGCGGTGACTGGGTGCGTTTCGCAGAACGGATCCTGAACCGGGCGCTGGACAATGACTCTCGTAGCGTTCAAAACGCTACGACCTCTATATCGTCGTGAGAGGTGAAGGAGCCACGAGGGTCACAAGAAGAAGAAGAAGAAGAAGAAGAGACGGTAAAAAGGAGGAGGAAGAGGACGAGAAGAAGGCACGGTAGCCTCTTTTGCTCTTCGCAGTCATAATGACAACGTTACTATCCGCCATAACTACTCGGCGTCAAGCTGCGGATAATTAAAGGGCGTGGAGATTACAGGCGGGTACGCGTGCACTCGCGCAAAAATACCGGAAGTTACTCCCAGTCCGAGCATCGGCTAGACTGTGGTAAAGTCATAGCGGGCGAGCTTGCGCTTAATAGCGGAAAACTGTTTGCCGATACTGCCGGGATTCGATCTTACCGTTGCCGTTAATCTCCGGGGAATGCGAAGACTCATTGCGAGAATATGAGCCTCCCAGTTGGAAAGTAATCGAAGGACGATTAATACGATCGCTCGCGGCCGTCGCGTCCGACAACAAGTTAAAAAAAGAGACTCGCGAGCGGTATTAAAAGTTTAATTACTCCCTTCTGTATTTCATTCTGCATAACAATCAGATAGAATTGCAGTCGCAATCAGACTCGCGCGGTCGCGTTATTTTCCTGACGCTCGAAACAGTGCGTTTGCGCGCGAGGAAAAAAAAACGCAACGGGGAAAAATAAAAGGCGGTGCGGGGGAAGCGAGACATACATTTTGTGGATTTAATTAACGCGGTTTCATCCGTTTTTTCAAATCCCACTAGACCAGCGCCCGTAGGGTACGCCCCGCCGGCGTATACAGGACCGTCTCGTAATTTCTCGTTAATCAATTAAGCGCAACGGTATAATGAAGCTTATTAACGGACATCTATAAAGTGCCGGGCTATTTAAGATGGTATGCCGCGATGCGCGCGGCCCCGCTGTATCCCGGGGACTGGTGTGGTACCGCTAAGTTGCCTGCTCGCTCGAGCAATTATGTACAGTGATAATTCGAAGTTATGCGACGTCTCCCTGCTGCCGTATCCTTAATACGTTTCCAGGCGGCGCGCCACGCCGCCGCTCCCACGTTGTGCAACAGTTGAAACGACCACGAGCGAAAAGCTTTAAGAAAATTGCGATTCCTCAAATTTTGCGACGCAAACCGGATATCTCCTTCGCAACCTGAATATT